GTTTTATATACAATTTGAAATATTTTCATCCAACTGGTTAACACAGCCTTCATGGCATTTTCTTAGTTATTGTGTTAAGACATTTATATTCTACATTTAGTAACTTTCACATGTACCCTTGTAAGATGCACCGTAGGATTGGATGGTATTTTTATTGGAGAGAGGTATTCTAAGATTTTTTCTTTTCTTTCTTTCTTTCTTTTCTTTTCTTTTTTTGTTTTGGTGAGGGGAAGAACAGTGCAAGTATCCAAGTAGTACCACAGGCTAGTGAATTTGACCCTGTAGAACTTTGCTGTTGTTGTTAAGGGGGCCCAGGCAAGGTTTGACCCTGCCACCCCTGGTGTGCAAGGCTGGAGTGCTCTCACCACGATGCAATGGCACCCAGCCTTGTAGGACCCTTCTTGAGGACTTTAGTCCTCAGCCCCTCACACAAATCCCCTGGTTCCAACCTGATTCTTAATCTCACCTCTACCCTAGTAACCTCCTGTGGTATTGTATAGTTTAGTATGATAAAAGCTTTTCTCTTGTTGGTGCAGGTGGATATTTATGTGGAAATACTGAGAGACATAACAAAACAAACAATTACTGCTTTTATATTTCAGTTGACCCCCAAAAGACAGACTCTCATTCAAAAATATTGAACAATTTTAGGGATTCATATCTATCTGCCTAGAGTTTGGTTTACTGTAGAAAGGATTAAATTAACTATACTTGGCAGATATCAGGTTGGAGCCTGTAATGGTGTTGGTAATTGATGAAAACAAAAAATGACACATTTGAAGTGGTATCTGTAGGCAGTACATGGGAGTAATTGTAGTACCCTCAAGAATGTGGAAATAGAGGAAATACAATTACTTTCTGAGAGCAGAAATTATGCAAACACTTAAAAAGCAGGGCATCAAATTAAAATTCCCATGGGGTATATGCAAGCAATATGAGAAATGTGGTTCTACCTTCAAGAGTGACATATATGTATTTATGTGTATATATATATACATATATATATATATTTGTTGTTGTTGTTATTGTTTTGTCTATTTGATACAGGTCTTGTTCTGTCACCCAGGCTTCAGTGCAGTGGTATAATCATAGTTGACAGCAACCTTAAACTCGTAGGCTTCAAGGGTCCTCCTGCCTCAGCCTCCCAAGTAGTTGGGACTACAGCTGTACACCACCACAGTTGGCTAATTTTTCTATTTTTTATAGAAATGAGATCTTATCCTTGGTCTAGGACTCCTAGTCTCAAGCAACCCTCCTGCCTTAGCCTCCCAAGTGCTAGGATTATAGATATGAGCCATCCTGCCTGGCCAAGACTGAGATTTAATTTTCCATCTGTAAGAAGCAGCCAGAATTCTGTTCACTGCCTTGTGCTATATGGGCCCAGTATCATCAGATTTGATTTTTAAAGAGATACTCAGATTTTTAAATGCTGGCAACTAATTTTTAAAAAAATTCACTACATTGAGGTATGAGTCAAATAACTCTAGACTTCTTTGTTTTGCTTCTATGCCAAACAACATTTTGATATTTCTAATGAAAATTGAAGCATACTGAGATGAGTAAGTACATTTACAGAAACATGCCATATTCCAGAAATTCATCCCTTTACTCTGTTATGATCAGAGAGTTTAAGTGACACCCCCTCCCCCAGCCCTGGTGACAAAGTTAGGTAAGTGTGGCTGTTGAGATTCCAACCCAGGTGCCTGTTTCCAGAACCTCAATGTTGTCACTCAAGGCATATGAGATCTGGTTAGAGTTTTAGTGAATGAAAAATATTCAGACCTCTAGTCAACCTGAATTTATATTGATATGCAACCTACTAGCCCTCTCTGCCCCATATCCTGACCTCAAAACTAAATCTTGTATGTCCTGAGTCCAGTATGAAATTTGGTTCTCTCTGATAATTTATATTTGTCAGTGTGAGGCAGTCTGGCATGCTGGTACTCTAAATCTGTGAGTTTGGTTAATCTAAGTCTCTCTGAAATCTGCTTATTGAATAGTAACTGAATTTTACTTTCTAAGCCTGGGAGACTGGTGGTAGTTCCAGGACAGGTGGTAAATTTCTTGCCCTCTGAGAAATGGCATCAGATAGGTGTCTATCA